AGTTTGTTCTTTGAGGTTGCTGGTAACAAGAAGAAAGATCAACCTGCTTTTCTGTAGTAGGTTTTAGCAAATCAAGACATCCCAAAGTAAGTTAGAAGCAATAAAAAGCCTTTCTGAAGTGTAAATTGTGTTGTAGGAAACACAGCAACTAATCCACCATGACACATTCCCACAAACAGCAAAGACGTGATGATCTGATTTTTTCATGTTAGCCAGAACACCCGGGACAACTCCCCTAATTTTCTACAAAACAATGCCAAGAGATCTTTTACACTCACTTGCTAGGCCTCAGCAGAGATTCATCTGAAAGTTGGCATTTCTGACAGTGCGGCACTCCCTCAGTACTGACCCTCTGACATACATATGGACTGGAGCAGTTCAAGAAGGCAGTTCACCACCACATTCTCAAGGGCAACTAGGGACAGGTAATAAATGTTGGCCCAGTTAGTGATGCCCACATCCCCAAATGAATAAATAAAAAATAGATAGCAAGTGCAGTACAACATGGCTAATGTGAAGTTATACACTTTGCTGTGATAGACAGAAAGGGAGGGTATTATTTAAATGATGAATCATCGATCATAGAATCCCTACAGTGTGGAAACAGGGCCTTTGACCCAACAAGTCCACACTGACCCTCAGAGCATCCCATCCAGACCCATCCCCCTGTAACCCACCTAATCTACACATCCCTGAACACTACGGGAAATTTAGCTTGGCCAATCCACCTAACCTGCACATCTTAGGACTGTGGGAGGAAACCGGAGCACCCGGAGGAAACCCACGCAGACACGGGGAGAATGTGCAAACTCCACACAGACAGTTGCCCGAGGGTGGAGTTGAACCCAGGTCCCTGGCGCTGTGAGGCAGCAGTGCTAACCACTGTGCCACCATGCCACCCTGATATATTAGGAAGTGTGGATATACAGAGGGATCTGGGGTTCTTTGTACACCAGTCAATGAAAGTAGACAGACAGGTGCAATAAGCATTTAGAAAGACAAGTGGTATAGAAACATAGAAACGTGGAAAACTGGTGCAGGAGTAGGCCATTCGACCCTTCAAGTCTGCACCACCATTCAACACAATCATGGCTGATCATGCAATCTCAGTATCCCATTCCCACTTTCTCCCCATACCCCTTAATCCCTTTAGCTACAAGGGCCATGTCCATCTCCCTCTAATGAACTGGTCCCAACAGCTTCCTGTGGGAGAGAATTCCACAGGTTCACAACTCTCTGAGTGAAGAAATACTTCCTGATCTCAGTCCTGAATGGTTTACCCGTTATTCTTAGATTGTGACTCCTACTTTCTGGACTTCTCCAGCGTTGAGAACATTCTTCCCACATCTAGCCTGTCCAGTCCTGTCAGGATTTTATGTTTCTGTGAGATCCCCCCTCATTTTTGTAAATTCCAGTGAGCACAAGCCTAGTCGATCCAGTCTTTCCTCATATATCAGTGCTGCCATCCTGGGAATCAGTCTGGTGAACCTTCACTGGACTCCCCCCATAGCAAGAATGGCTTTCCTCAGGCTAGGCGACCAAACCTACGCCCAATTGGTCTTCATTGCAATAGGATTGGAATTCAGAAGCAGGGATAGCCTACAGCAGTCATACAGGGTCTTGGTGAGACCACACCTGGAGAACTGTGTGCAGTTTTGGATATACTTGCCATAGAGTGAGTGCAGCAAAGGTTCACTGGGCTGATACCAGGGATGGCAGCATTGTCCATGAGAAGAGATTGTTTGGAATGGGCCTGTATTCATTGGAGTTTAGAAGGATGAGAGAGGATCTGATTGAAATGTATAAAATTCTAACAGGGCTGGACAGGCCAGATGTAGGGAGGATGCTTCCCCTGATTGGCAAGTCTTGAGCTAGGGACACAGTGTCTCGGGATATGGGATATACCATTTAGGACAGAGATAAGAAATAGTGTCTTCACTCTGGAGGTTGTTAACCCGAGGAATTCTCTACTACAGAAGGCAGTGGAGGCTGAATCTCTGAATATATTTCAAGAAAGCAAAGCAAACATTTCTAGATTTTAAAGGCATCAAGAGCCATGGGGAGAAAGTGAGCACATTGGCATTGAGGTAGAGAGTCAGCTGTGATGCTCAAAGGGCCGAATGGCCAACTCCTGCTCCTAGTTTCTGTGTTTCCAATCTGACACATGCCTGTTTTTGTTTTTTAATTCTTTCAATTAAAACAAGAACGTAAAATGATTCACAGACATTGTCAGGGTAAACTTGCTCGAGTCAGTGGGAAGGCAGTAGCACAGAGTTATCCAAAACCCCAGACTGGGTTCAATGCTGTAAACTTTGAATTCAGTTCAAAAACTGGAATAAAGAGCTAGTTCAATAATGACCATGTAACCATTACCAATTGTTGTAAAAACTCATCTGGTTCATTAACTCTGTTTAGGGAACTAAATCAGCCGTCCTTACTCAGTCTGCTGTGCTTACTGGGGAGGCGATGGCCTAGTGGTATTATCACTGTGCTGTTAATCCAGAGACCCAGATAATATTCTGGGGGCCTGGGCTCAAACCCCACCACTGTAGATGGCGGAATTTGAATTCAATAAAAATCTGGAATTAAGAGTCTAACAATGACCTGAAACCATTGTTGGTTATCAGGAAAAACACATCTGGTTCACTAATGACCTTTAGGGAAGGAAGCTGCCATCCTTACCTGGTCTGGCCTACATGTAACTCCAGACCCACAGCAATGTGGCTGACTCTGAACTGTTCTCTGAGCAATTAGGGATGGGCAATAAATGCTGGGCCCAGCAGTGACTCACACAACTCATTACCAAATTCAATAAAACTTCCCAGTCATCTATTGCCCAATGTTTTTATCTTTGGTTCAAATCTTGCATGCCAGTGGATAGTGTCCCTCCCTCTGGGCCAGCAAAGTGCTCTGCCAGATTCAGGACGGTATAAAGTGGCTAAACAGATGGAAAAATCCTTCCAAAAGTCACTGATGGTGTGTGTTTTTAAATGTTTTTATTTACTCATGGGAGACGGTGTCATTGGCTGGGCCAGCATTGATTGCCCTCGTTGCCCTGGAACATGTGGTGGTGAGCTGCCTTCTCGATTCACTGCGGTCCCCGTGCTCTAGTAAGAGTGGGAGAGATTCCTGATCAGCAAGTGATGGAATCAAGGCTGGAGCCCCCACCATCACTGTGTGAACAAAGAACAAAGAACAAAGAAAATTACAGCACAGGAACAGGCCCTTCGGCCCTCCAAGCCTGCGCTGATCCAGATTCTCTATCTAAACCTGTCGCCTATTTTCCAAGGATCTGTATCCCTCTGCTCCCTGCCCATTCATGTATCTGTCTAGATACATGTTAAATGACGCTATCGTGCCCGCCTCTACCACCTCCACTGGCAACGCGTTCCAGGCACCCACCACCCACACATATCTCCCTTAAACTTTTCCCCTCTCACCTTGAAATCATGACCCCTAGTAATTGAGTCCCCCACTCTGGGGGAAAAAAGCTTCTTCCTATCCACCCTGTCTATACCGCTCATGATTTTGTAGACCTCAATCAGGTCCCCCCTCAACCTCTGTCTTTCTAATGTAAATAATCCCAATCTACTCAACCTCTCTTCATAGCTAGCGCCCTCCATACCAGGCAACATCCTGGTGAACCTCCTCTGCACCCTCTCCAAAGCATCCACATCCTTTTGGTAATGTGGCGACCAGAACTGTACGCAGTATTCCAAATGTGGTTGAACCAAAGTCCTATACAACTGTAACATGACCTGCCAACCCTTGTACTCAATACCCTGTCCGATGAATGAAAGCATGCCGTATGCCTTCTTGACCACTCTATCCACCTGCATTGCCACCTTCAGGGTACAATGGACCTGAACACCCAGATCTCTGGGTGTGGTTGCAACATGCTTGTAAAGGCGTGTATTGCCCACAGTAACTCACACTCCATGGGAGGGACTGGTTAGCTAAGTTGGCCAGATGGTAAGTCAGGCCGTTGCTAACAGTCGGGTGTTTGATTCCCCTTTCCGAACGGGATCGATTTGGGAGTAGCCTTATTTGCTCTTCCTGGGCTCTCCGGGATGGGTCAGACCTGCCTTTGAGAAGAGAACTGAAGGGGAGTAATTTGCCCCATGGTAGTATGTTTGAGCTCTGCGATGGTCATCTGGTTTGCCGTTATTAGATCTGCTCCTCTGTGAGCTGTCTTGTTTACAGCAGGAGTTTCGCAATTGCCTACAGAATTGGCAAAGCTGAGTCAAATTGCTGTGGGCAAACTGCAAATTATGGAGAACTGCATCAATTCCAAATGTGCAGAGCTGGATGAACACAGCAGGCCAAGCAGCATCATAGGAGCAGGAAGGCTGAC